AGCAAGAAAAACTTACTCAACATCGTAACCGCTTGAGAAACACCAGTTCTAACTGAACCACTGCCGACCTTTAATTTCCAATCTTGTTTTAAAGACTTGAGACATCTCGGTCCACAAGATGTAGGCTTTGCCTTGGTAAGTTATTTCAGAAGACTGGCAGTGAAACACAGGAGTCCTTCAATGCCACTGACCAAAACATGATAGTGAAAAATAATAGATAAAAAAACATTGTCTTCTGTATTCTTATATGAATTTAATTGGGGTATTTCACAGTGCAGTCAAAGATCTGATTACAGCTGCTGCAGATGTACGTGACAGCTACCTACCTGCCTACCTAAGATGCTGACACAATTATGATCACTGTAGATTGTAGTGAAGAAGCTGTGCACCTATTAAAATAGCCAATCTCTGAGAAACTTGGTGGTGTCCAGCTAGCAAGGCGTTAAGAAACAACTATCCCAAACCTGGTGACCACACACCAGAACAACACAGACTGCATAGGAATAAAACTACATCCTTTCTCAGTTTAATTACTAATTCCTAGCAATTAGTTCAAGGCAGTGAGTAGAGAGATACTATTTTGACAAATATTTTAGTAACATTATTCTAATATTCTACAGAGGTACTAAACTCTCAACTAAATACTACAGTAATGCACTCGTACAGCAAGCAGGTTTCATTCACATGGAAGAGCCAAATTCTTTTTGAGAGCTGTGACAGATACTGGGTCTGACTAAAACTGATAAAATTACTAATATTACTCCTCTACTATTAGCTTTAGTTTGAAATTCTCCTAAATACTCAACCACTGTTAGGATTTTGGGTGAAGATGCCAAGGTTTTCTTAATTCTCTTGGATAACAAGGACATGAGGTGTAGCTGTTTCCTGAAAACTCCAAGATTTCCTTCAAAAATAAAATAAAGATCACTCCTGCAGCACATCTCATTTTAAAAAACACGTGAGCCCTTGCACACTACAGTTCTGACAGAGGAAAATGGAATGGGTCAGCAGTGCTTAATACCCAGTCTGAAACTTCTCCATCCGTTTGTGGTGAAGGTATTGATAGTGGGAAGTGTTTCTGTGCAAATCAGCAAAGTTATAAACAACAGCTGTAAAATGTCATACTCACGTCCTTATTGAGGCACTCCTATCATTTGCAGGCTAAGGATCTTGTTACTTGCTCAAATAATGATTACATTTTGTATTGAACAGTTATGGGACAAGATGCAACGCTGTAAGCACTTATTAGTATTGACCTCACTGGAGCCCTTCAGAAAAGACCTTCCTCAAAATCCCAGATGACTGAATTACTGTTAAACAGACAGAGGGTCATGTTGAAGTTTATCAGATTGAAGTCAAATTAAGCCTTTGTGAAAAGCCTCACAAAGATGCAGTCTCCAGTGTATTCTGGAGATACCATTATTAGTAAATAATTTTGTTGAATTCCAAGTAATTGTGCTGCTGAAGATGATGTTCAATACCCCACGCTGTCCTACAGCCTCACAGGATCTATCACCACTTTATCAACACTAAAAGGCGGCCAAGCACTCAGTGAAGAAATACCTGAATAAACAAAACAAAAATCAAATGCTGAAGAGATTTCATGCTTTACAATCACTTTCAAGTTATGCACTATAAGCTTGATTTCAAGCTCTGTATCTTATTTTCTGCTTAAGAGTATTAAATATCAGCTAAAAGTTAAGTTCTGCTGGTGTCTCCGTTTCAGGCTCAGAGAGCAGGATTTTCTCTCTATTGTCCCCTACCCTTCCAGGGGAGGATTAAAAAAAAGGGAATAGAGAAAAAGATGCTTCGTACAGCGTTGGAAGTTAAGACTGTAACAAGTTTAATGAAAAACAACAGGGGAAAGGAAAAGGGAATTAATAAGGGACAAAGGATATTTAACTATATACAAAACCCGAACCCAGCAGTCCTGAGTGGAAGTGTCCGAGCAGTGCCTCGTGGTGCTGTGACCGCTGTGACTCGTCACCAGGAACCGCAGTGGTGCTGGGAAGAGGGTGGTGGTGGATGCTGCCGAGCACGTGGAGCTAGGCCCAGCCGTCCCGAGATGCAACAGGAAACCAGGAAAAGCCCGCGAAAACCCCGGGCCTCCTCGGTTTTTTATAGACTGTGGCCAGAAAGGGGAGGAAACAGAACTGATCTCTGACCCTCCAGGGTCCTACAGACACCACCTGTCCTTCCCTTTCAGGCTGGTAACCCTTAAACCATAACATGTGGATTGCTCAAAAATGAACTCTTACTAATTCTTAACCCTCCGTATTAGGAAATAAAAATCCAAAAACTCAGTTTTGAGAAACAGTCAAAGAAGATGTGTGGGGAAAGACTGAAGACAAAAGAGTTTCCTGATGAAATTATGAATGCAATTTCATGCTTTAGAATAACAGAGACCATCATTGCATACAAACCTGTCCAGCAATGACAATAGTTTTGAGAGTTCATATTCCCCTGCCTCTACAAACTGCTGTAAAAATAAAGTTAACATTCAAGTGTAGTAAGAGCTCTGTTACATGTTAGTGAACGCACGAGCCACTTACTCCCTTAAAACTTAGAAATAAAACAGTTTCACACAGATGGCCTTCCCTTTTTTTTTTTTTTTCTCGTTATAGCACCAAATACAATCGGTACAATACAAAAATACCGAAGGCAATTCAACTGCTGGAAAGCGTATCTGATCCGTTGTGTCACACAATTTTATAAAAGCTATTCAGTCAGAAGGCAATAAATGAGCATTCAAGTGATTTACGCACTTTTGGATCATAATTTTTTACACAATGTTTTATTTTTAAAAATATATATATGCTGTATACTATTACGTTTATTCTCTGTGGTATAATAAAATCATAAATCTATCTGATGAAAAATGGATTGTATTCCAGTTGTATCACTGCGGCGCATAGAGCTGCTCTTATCATACCACTTACAAAGATCAATGGTAACTTGAAAATGATTTCATTCCATGCTACCTCTAATATATTAGCAATAAAAGGACTCTTTTTAATTTAAAAGTCACATCAGCTGCTGTCCATCTTCTTATAAACTCCTCTCCATTTCTGAAACTGACATATTACAGGAGCAAAATATCACCTGGTAACTACAGGGCTAGTTTCTGATTTTCCTGGTGAAAATTAGTTTAAAAACTACCTTAAGTGTCTATTCAGCAGAAACACAAAAGCTTTTCCTCACATGCGTTGCTGTGTACCACATCCTAATCCAATTTCCTGCTCTCCTTGGTTATAGTATGATTTAGATCTTATAAAAACTACAGCAAAAGGCCCTTCTAATTTGTAGGATTATGTTCCTTAGATGGGAACAATCAGCCTTCTTAAAAATGAACGAATAGTTCCACTGCGATCACGTTAATGTGAAATGTAATGTAAAATGTTAACTAATACAAAATACCATTAAAAGCAATGAACAGCTGGCCTGCTTTCCCACAGCCAAAAGTTTTCTCAACCGGCAGCATACATTTTACATTAAAACCAACAAAAAGGAGTAAAGCGTGCATTCCAAAGACTGCTCTTGATAATGATCTTTCTAACGCTCAGCCTGGTTCTGCATAACGACAATAAAATCACTTCTATTTGGCAGCTGAAGAGGTGAGAACACATTTGCCAAAAATGCTGATGCTGCTTTTTCCCAGATATACAAGACCACAGCAACTCAGAACTTACGGACCTATAACTGTGTTAGGACATCATCTAAACTCTAAGTTTAAAGAATGCACATTTCACTCACGCCAAGAGATGAAAAATTCTACTACGAAATTGCACTAGGCAGTGGTCCACAGTGGCATATTTCCCAGATATTCACTATCATTGCTACCCTGGCATTGCTACCATCGCAACTACATTTGTAAACACTAAGTTTTTAAATGAAAATGTTCATAATATGAGATAAAAGAGTAATACAAATAAAAAGCCTCAAAAATCTCTCATCCTGGCATAAGCAATATAACAGTAATTCAGAGATGACCTAAATCAGTTTTCCACGAGGTACAGCAGTGGTTTATCTCCATCCTTCAGGAAGCTCTTTGGGAACAAAGACCTCTCACAAGCATGGGTTTCACTAAAATTACACAATCTTAAAACAAATGTAGCGAAGGGCATTCTTTGAAATCACACAACTCTATCATGTGCACTGCCATCCAAAGGCAAGCATTTTTCAAAGTTTAATTAAAAATTACGCTATTTGTTATATCTCTGAATGTACACAGTTTCTTAAAGGAGCAATTAGTTTATTTGCTTAAGAGCACCTTTCACAGAACAAAGTATTTTAAAAGTACTAAAGAGTTTGGCCACAAAACATGACCACCACTTTTCAAATAAGGCACGAAACCTTGAGCTAATTTTTTTGTCGTTGTGAAAAAAATCTGCATCAACGAAGAACTCTTTCAGTTCTCCAGTTTTTCCATAGCATTAATTTTTGAAAAATCAGTACGCTACAAAGAGGTGGACAACGAAATATATTACAGAAGAAATTCTAGTTAGAGGATCTTCTATTGCAGCGTAACAATTTTAACTGAAATAGGTAAAATGATGGCTTATGTGAGAAAGATTATATGCACTAACTTACATGCTTTTTTTTTCTTCCATTAGAAATGCTTAAAGAACACACCAAGTTCAAATTTCGATTTTCGTAAAATTCTGTGCCTCTTAGCGAATCAAAATTCTATCTCATAGCTGCAGGAAATATAACTGTCATGGGAATGCACATTCTCTTCCTTCACTATCACACCTACTGCAGTAATTCCTAAGATTAAGACGACTCAACTGTTAAAAATACCATACAGAGGAAGACTATAGCACAAAATTTGTACAAATTAAAAATTTGTTATATGCTCGAGTGGTTAAGGTAAAATTACTGCTAAAATAATTATCAGAATTTTAACCTACAAGTAGAAAAGAAAGAAGAGAAAAGCCATCTTTCTTTCTAAATGTAATGGTTTTCACTAATATTATGGATACAAATAAAATACTCTTTACCTAGAAGAATTCTTCTTTATTTTTTCATCAAGATCACTAAGGATTTGTTGAAACTCCAATTCTCCAGGAAGGACATTTAACAAACAGTCTAAATTGGAAGAATCCAGAGAATACTCTCCTCCCCACTCCATCTTCAGAATCTGTAAAACAGATATAGAAAAGTGGTTAAATAATGAAAATATTCAGACTAGAAGTACCAAAATATACAGTATTTTTTTTCCTGGGAAATACTTAGATTAATAAGGGAATCTTTTATATAAGAAATTATAAAATCAGTGTTGAATAGCAAACTTTATGCATGCCTCTGGGTAGACTGGTACAGAGAGGGACACAATAAAAGCAGAGCTAAATTTCAAAACATCTTGCATTTTTTTTGGTTAAAAAAAACCCCCAGTTACTTTACCTTAATTATATTAGTAGCTTTCTTCATTAATGGTTTTTAGGTTTGGTTTTTGTTGGATTTTTTTAACATTTAGAAAGAAAATTCTCATTATTACAACTGGAAGCTATAAAAATAAATGCACAGGGGTTAAATTTACTTTCTGTGTCTTTATTTTCTTACAATTTCTGACTGAGGAGTAACTGCTTTCTGGAAATCAAGCATCTCATTGCAAATAACTGTAACAAGAACATCCAGACCAAAACACCATAATGGGCCAGGAAAAAAGTGTCATCTTGATTTTACGTATTTTACTTAACGAACACTTTGCCAAAACACACGTAAATCCATGGACCTACTCAAACTAAGACACTATATCCCAGTTTTTCTATCAGAAGCAAAGCATTAACACAGTTATTTTTTTCCTGTTTTCTGTTCTTTCTGTATTCTTTTTTTTTGAGAAATCATGAAATTGATAAACCAGTGATGACTTGCTACCTAAGTTAAAGAAAAAAATTACATAAAATTGGAAACTTCCCAATAACCAGCATATTTCATGTCTGCTATTTAGTAGTTAATAATACTATTCATGTTGCAGTAGGAACATGAGGAACAAACATAACTACTCAGAGGCACACAATGTTTGGCCAACAAAATATAATGAATTAATAAATACACTATTTTTCTTACAGGCAATATTCTTTTATGAAGCAATTACAAAGTTAGTTGGAAATTTACTTACAGGCACTACTAGAAAAATAGGTTGAGAGTTTTTCTAAGTGAACAGTCCACAAGACACATGCTCCAAAAGAATATCAGATTAAGATGCAAGGTCAAGATTATAGTTTTTGGTGAAATGTGGGTGTAGACCTACAAGTAGCAGAACTGCACGTTTCTTCAGCAGAAATGATGCTATTGATTCTGGTTTTGCTCTTTCAAAACAAAGAACAAACATGAAGGTCCTTTAAAGCCCAGTATCCAGCACATCTGAATTAACAGCACAATACGATGCAATATTTTATTGATATATGATTTTCTTAAATTTTAAGAAGCTACAGAATACACCTCTGCAAATAACCAGAGACTTTCAACATTTCAGAATGTAGCTGAAACTCGGTCACTCTCCTGGTTAAAAAGTCTGAACATAAACCAAACCCATCATGTAACACATCAAGGGACGATCAGTTGTTGAATAGAAGACTCAAAGTATCTTAACAGATGTTACTGGAATTAAAGACACTGTGATTAAAAGTAGAAGTTAAAAAGCACTTTCCCAAATGTTGAAATACTTGTCAGCTGCTCTGGCAAAAAAAAACAACCCTAAAAACAGTAAGACAACTTCGTAAGTTTCTGCTACCGATGCACATACATTAACCAGTGCTTTAGAGAACTGAAACAGGAATATATAAAATAGAGGTGTTCACTCATATATGATACTGCTTATATTCAGACATGGTCACACAAACTCATTCCTATTTCTTTTCAGAGAAGTCTCAGAGTTTATACAGAATATGATGCTAACTCCACTCAATACCTATAAATTAAACCCATCTTTTATTCAATTATGCTTGCAGAACAGTCAATGACTGGTGTAAAAGGTACTATATAACAGATACGTGTAATGCAAAAATAGTAACAGTTGGCATGATTCATAGTTCTCATAAAATAGGTGCACAGTCAAACGTTTATATTTATTCCTAACTCCCTTCCTTACAGGATAGCCAAAAAGAATCTCGTGTTCCTCAGAAAAATATCGGTATAGTTTACAGACCACTTACTGTTTGAAAAATTCATCATATGAAAAAAATCACCTTGTAAACATGACAGCCTAGTTTTCATGTGTGCATTCCTGTAAGACTTTTATGTCATACTTCTTCGGTTCACTTGTCAAAACAAAGTAATTATTCCTTTCAGTCCTGGTTTATGGGGGAAAAAGCAACATCTGACTATTCAGTTTTCAAATACTGTTTTAGGTGGTCAATAGTAATTTCTTCTTACGAAAATCTAAATATTTCCCTAATACAAGTCTATCATATGAAGAAGCAAAATACAAAACATTAAAGAAGGAAAAACATCAAGATACAAATTAATTCAAATTGAGTTAGAAACTCTACTGTTATTTAGCGTAACCAGCACCAGGGCCTTGGGTGCCCTCACAGGCTTTAAATGCTGATGGCCTGGACTCAGTGAGACTTGACTGACACTCCAGTGCCTGCCTCACCAGGCTCCCTGGGGGGCAGCAAGATGGCAAGGTCCCTCCTCTGCCATTTGGGTTATCCCCCTTCCCTCTCAGGCCTCAAAGAGCAGCCAGTCACTGCTGCTCCCTGATAGCCAGCGTGACACAGCCCCGCTCTGATGGCAAAAAAATGTTTTTTGTTAAAAAAAATAAATCTGCTTCTTAAAATGTTTATTATCTGTAATAATACAGGGGAAGAACTCTGTTTTGAAACTCCAAATTCTTTCAAAGTATTTCAGACAGTAATAAACCACTTCTGCAAAGGAGAGCAATTTAACACTTGTTATGGTGCCTAAAAAGTATCATCCCATCATATTTCTATTTGCTATTACAGCAAAGTATTGTATATTTTGAGACAAATGGTCTTAGAGAACCTTCTTCAGATGCAACTCAATGTGTCTCTATCTGTAATAGCTATAGTTCTTTTCAAAACATGTAAGAGGACCATTCATCACCTTTAAAACGATGTAGCTGTCAATCTTTTTGGTAGCCACTCAAGAAACTTAACCTGTGTACAGTGCAGCTTAAAAAGAAGTATTTTTCGTGTCTCTTATTTTAACTTACAGTATCAATGCAACTTAACCTTACTGTAACAATTCCCCACTTCTAACAAGTCTGACACTAGGAACCAATCTCATAAAAAACAATTAGGCCTATTCAAAAACTCATGATGGAACATTCAAGTTGATACAACAGACACTTCTTGGCTTTTCAATTCGTACAGAGTCTACCACTGAAGAGCACTTTTTAGTGTATTCTTTTTCAATGTCAATTGAGGGAAAGCAATCTTCCCATAGAAGTCCTACATAAAATGATACTTAGTTCAGATTGGATATGTCTTCATTCAGACACAACAATTCAATAAACACCGCTCGCTGTAAAAACCTTCCACTACAAGAAAAAACATGTGAATTTCCAAGGGATTTCTAAGAGCAGCTTGTAATGTTTATATTCACTATAATAAGCATACAGCATTGGACATATAGTTGTAAAAGTTGCATGAACCTAAAGCTTGAGAGTACTTTCCTGTATCAGCACTTTTCTTGAATTTACACATGTACAATATAGTAGAAAACACAACATTTAACTATAGACTCATAGTCTGACACATTGCAGATACGCAGCTAACAGACATCTCCCACTTTTAGACACAACTGCTTTTCTTTAAAATATAAAATATGAGCCTTTCATTGCACTGGGTAAAAAATAACATGTCATGTTTATAGGATACAAATCCATTCCACCATTTGTAGAAACTTTGCAAATGTTTACAGACGTATTTATTGATAAATATCTAAGTACAAAATATAAAATATATATCTAAGTATAAAATACAAGTATTGTTACTCCTTCATTTCCCCTTGACACTTCAGCCAATTAAAAACCTGATTTTACTTCAGTGGGTTTCGGATACCATGGGACTGTGTCAGACATAGAGAATATGACATATTTTGTATTATAGTTACACAGAACATGTTAAGAAGAAAAAAAAAAAAATCTAAATACAGTTTTAAACTTCAGTTTGCCTGGGGTGTCCTTTGAATCAACTGCCTAAGCCTAATGGAAAATTAATTAGTTTGGCTGTTAGGCCCTTTGAAAAAAAATTACAGTATGTATGTGTTCAAGAAAATAGCAGAACTAAAGCAGGAAGTTTGAAGTTAAACAGGGGTTTATGACATGTTTTTTTTCTTAATTTGATCACACTTCATGAAAGGTCTAATTAAACTTTAAACCTTCCTAAGTTTTCAAGTGCCCTGTATACATTTACGCAGCCTCTAAGTAAACTGAGAAGCCTTAGGCAGTATACCATTTCATACAATGCAGATCCAAAGAGATCTCTCCCTGAGCACTACAGGACCTACTTGAGAAAATTATGCAGTGGGTTTTCAGAAAAAAATAGTGTTGTGGTTTAACCCCAACCAGTAGTCAAGCCCTCTCCCTCAGTGGAATTGGGGAGAGAATCAGAAGTGCCAAAGTGAGAAAACTTTTGGGTTGAGATA